TTCCCCTYTGCCTCCAGCCGAAAGTATACTTGTACCCCTTCGACGTAGCGATCCATAACGGTTTCACTACTATTTGCTAACGTACTTACAATGGGCTCACTTAACTTTCTAACCTTAAGCCCAAGACTTAGTTTTTCTAACCCTCTTTTACTAATATAACTGCGTGTAGACCCGCTGTCTATCATACCTCCTACTCTTATTCGGTTTACTTCAAGATTTGCAATTATTARCTGTCCTTTYTTTTTTCGCATTTCAGTCCAGGCTTGGCGACGAGCGGMCAACTCATCACCCATGCCAGCGAGGGATCCATCTAGAGAGATGCATACATTTGCCACCTCTGGACAGTGTACTAGATGGGGACTTCCTTCCTCTTCAGTTTTGGCCAGTGGAGCCTTCGACTGGGAGGATTCTGATTTTTCAACGGTCGAAGCTCCGGTAGAGGCAACTGACACCTCTACTGGTTGTTCCCTTTTGCCCCCCTATAATCAGGGCAATAGGGGACAATGTGGTCGGGGTCCCCACATTTAAGGCATTGGTCAGCTTTCTTTCTCTCTTGCCAGACTTTTTATGTTATTCCCAATTCTTTCCAAGGCTCTCCTTCGGGTAGGCATGGATGTGGTGGGTATGGCTTGTCCCACTTATTRTACCACATGCCTCTTCCTCTACCCCAGGTGGAGTAAGAACCACGGYCACCGTATGAGGGACCATTTCCCCTTCCTCCCACGTAGTGGCTTCCTTCACCACCACCCCTCTGGGTGCCGAATCCTCGTCCACCACGGCCGCGACCTCTTCCTCGGCCACGCCCTCTTCCTTGATGCCCTCCCCCGCGGGCCGCAATAGCCGCGTAACTCCCCTCATGAGCTACCGGTCTATTGGGTTCATCGAGACCGTAATCTATTTGGTCCCAAGAAAGTGATTCAACACCTCCTTCTTCAAAGGTCAGAAGGAGGTTGTCTTTCCCAGGTATTGATCCTGAGATGGTGCGGTTTTGCCATCTTTTGCCCGCTTGCAGATCTTTCCAATAGTGGCAATAGTTGGCTTCAGCCAGAAATCCTGCATGGTCTAATGCAATCTTACTAAATTTCTCATAGGTCATCCCTTCCTCTTTAGTGCGGGGATATAACTGTGTTCGGATGGGATCAGGTAAGGCGCGAGCAAAACTGTTCAAAATTTGAGCCGGGGTTAACCCATGTTCGGTGCACTGCAACAACTCATCCATGGTAGCTTTTAGTGCCGACGTGCTTTTCCACTTCCTGTCAGGAAGGTTCAAGATTAACATTTCTGTTCTTCGGGCGAGATTTTTATCTTCGAACCTCTCTCTGACGGCTTTGAGAAAGTCTTCAATGCGGGTTTGCTGGGAAAACTTTACCATTGAACTTCACCCTGCTTCTTTTTGTAACGAGATTGCACAACTCATTGCGTCATCGGCCATACACGAAGTGGCCATCAACACCCTATCCCAATAAGGAATCCGTTGTCCGTAGACATAGGACTCTGCAGCCGCCATCCAATGCAACACGCTTTCTTCCTTTTTGCCGGTGTACGTCCATGGAATTTTAACCTTAATTTTGTTGTTGGTCCCTGCTCCTTCTTCTCGTTGTCTTCCCTTTCCTTTCTTATCTCCATCGCCTCCATCCCCGTCTCCGTCACCACCTCCTCCTCCGCCGCTGCCCTGCACTATTCTCTCAATCACGG